GGGGGGTGGGCTTCTGGGCCTTTCTTTTCAAGAGTCCAGGCCTCCCAGCCATTTGTCAGTCTCCTCGGGCCTTGCCGTAATGGAAAGGGTGGTGGCTACCACCACATCGATGCGGTCCACTGAGAAAGGGTTGAACTGTTTGTCCAGCCGGCGCATGAACTCATGCTTGAGGAGGTAGCCACTCTGCCCATTGAACTCGAACAGGGCCATGTTCTGCTGCATAGGCAGGTCTGGGGGTACGAAGGGGTGAGGTAAGGAAGGTGTGGCCCTGGATTTATACCCAGTCTCTATCCCTACAATTTCAAGCCTCTCTTTTCTTAAGGATGGGAAGATTTGGGTGGATTGTGAGTGTGAGGGCTTCTCATGTCCCATTCCAGGGTCTGGGGGTGTCTCATCTTTCAAGAATGATCCACAACCTGGAGTTAGCAAGGAGCAATGGCACGACCAGGCTGCAAGCTCACAGTGGGAGCTGAGGCAGCTGGAGCAGGTGTTTCCAAAGACAAACTGAAACAGAACAGCCAGAACCTGTGCCAGCCTTGCTGCCTTACATGTGTTCCCATCTACCAGAAGTACAGTCTCCTCCCCCAAGTACTCACAAGCCTGGGCATGCTCCCAGAGCCCACATAGATATCATACCCAGTGTGCACCAAAGATCACCCAGAAAGGGATGAAGGTGGGATGGACAAGGCCCAGGGCAGGGTCTTCAAGGGTCAGGAGTGTCCTCACCCATTGTCTGGAAGTTGAGAGCAACCATCTGGCATCCAACATTCCAGAACATCTGGGGCATGTAGTTGGAGGAGTCCATACGTGTGCCCTTGGGGTACACACGACTCATCTGGCGCTTGTTGTAGCTGCCCCTGAGTATAGGAGCTGGCGGCCAAGGCCACTTTCACCAACAGGACCCCAACATCCCCCAACCCCCACTCCAGCCAGAGACTTTAGCTGGTGAAGCCTTAAGGATACTCCACAAACTGCACCGAGGCTTTGGAGAGCAGGTCAGAGGCCTTGAGCTCCGTGAAGGAGGAGATGACATAACTTCGGTTCTTCTCTGTGCAGGGGAGAAAGCAAGAAGGACTCCAAATCAGGCTGGCCCCTCCCCTCCCTCAGCCCTGCTCTCTCCTTGGGAGACCCTTCCAACCCAGGATTCTATTGAAGCCTGAGGGTTTAGCAGTCAGACTCTGGAGGAATATGGCGGGGCAGGGGGGAAATGTGCTGGGGTAAAGGATCTTTAAACAGACATACAGAGGGAGCGGATCAGTGCCTAGGTCCTGAACACTGACGGCTACATGCCATGGATTGGAATGGAGGGTGTGGGGGACCCTATGAGGCTGAGTCCAGGGTATCGAGAACATGCGGTACACATGTCCAGTGTTGGCCAGGGACCATGATGTGTGAAAGGACTAAGACATGCAAGCAGTAAGAAAATATACAGAGCGAGAGCTGTAGGCTAAGGGCAGTACCCTAAGCCTCCCTAAGTATACCCACGGGTGTGCCAGGTGGCGGGGCAGGCTGTGGGATCAGATATGGGGAATCAGTGTTGCAGGGATCCAGCTACACAGACTATTCAGAAAGGTGCTGGTGTGGGGAGACATTCATAGATAACAGGAGTATGTGTGAAAGGGGAAGGATCCAAAGGGGCAAGGGCGCACTTGTGGCTTTCACTAGCTTCCACCCCTCCAGGAACTCTCACCCCAAGGGCTGGGGCTTCTAGACTTAGCCAACCCTTGATATAGTTCAGACCTGGAAGCTGTAGAATCTGTAGGAAGCTCCAAGAGCACCAGACAGGCCTGGATGAGATAGCCTGTCATAACGACCTGCCTGTCACTGACACACTCCAGAACATCCTATTTACTGCCAAGTTCTTCAGCTCAGTGCTGGGAGACTGGGAGCCACTGCCACTTAAACAAGCCCTTTGCCTGACTCTTCAACTGGGTATTTATAGACAGGGCCCCAGGTCCAAGGACAGGCAGGCCCCCCTTCCTCTCATCCCACCCATCAGGCCTCTCTTGAATGAGGAGGCCTGCCTTCTCCTGAAGCCAGCCCACCCTCTCTCACCACCACCCCATACTAGCATACGTGCAGAGAACTCGAAGGAGATGAACTTGGTAGGCTGGATATAATTGACAAGGCTGGACATTTCCTCATAAGCAGTCACCTCCAGGCCTGCTGTGCCCTAGAGATCAGAGAGGAGAGTGGAGAAGGGAACAGTAAAGAGTCCAGATTGTAGCCCATACCCATCCAGAAGGTACCACAGTGGAGTGGCAGAGGGACTGTCCCCACACACCTCATCCGACTGCATCTTCTTCATCTCTTCTTCATCCAGGCTTCCTGACTCCTCTTCTTCCTCTTCTTCCACCTCCTCCTCCTCTACCTCAGCCCTGTCCTCAGCAGCCCACACTGCCACACATAATTTTGTTGATACTGGCTCTCCCCAACCCCGACCCCACTCCTGTCACTCACTCACCTGTGTCCTCCCCCAAGGAGGCATTGGGCGAGCAGCTACCCTCAGCCTCCCCACCAGGCTTCTTGCTGGGAGCTTCTGGACCAGAAAACTGGTTCTTCTTATTCTTGATGAGGATCTTGCCCCGGAGGTCCTCAGGGCTGGGCAGAGGGATGCCAGCTTTCAGCTGTGAAAAGGAGAAAGCTGGGCACCATCGCCTCTTCTGTGGTATGTACCTGAGCTCCTAACTCCAAGCTGTGCTTCCTCTGCCCTTGGCCTACACCTCTTGCCTCACCTCCCACCACTGCCCCTTATGTGTTGAACACTCACCTGAGCAAACTTATCCCTGTTGATGTCTCTCTCACCTGCTCCTTCTGACTAAATTGCTCTTTTCCCGACTCACTGAGTCTGTATCATTCTTCGGATTTCATTTTAGCCATCACTTCCTCCAGGAAGCCTGCCCTGATCCTCTAACTTCTGAGCATTGCCTCCCATAGCAACCATTGGCTATAACTGACCTGGTTACTTGTCCATCTCCTCATTTGAGGGTCAGAAACCTGAGAGCAGCAACTATGAATTTTGGTTTATTGTTATTTGTTTATTTGATTGATTGGTTTGTTTTAGAGAGGGTCTCGATATGCATCCCAGGCTGGCCTAGAACTTAAGATCCTCCTGCCATAGACTCTCAAGTGCTGGCATTACAGGTATGGTCCACTATGCCTAGCTTCAGCTGGGCTTCTGTCACTAATATACCTCATATTCTAGCATACAGTCTGACACATGGTAAGTGACAGGACCCAGACTCATAATCCAACCAAATAAACCCAAATGCCTCAGCCCTCTTAACCTGGGCCCTCCTGACCCCCAGGCACAGATGCCCCAGAAGAGAGTCCACTCACAGGAAACTTTTCCAGGGGCTCTGTAAGCAGGGTCTCTCCAAACATGGTCCGGCAGTATTCAGCCATCTTAGCCTGTTGGCGGGGTCTGTTGGCAGGGAGCAAAAGTAGAGGTAACTGTTACTTGCTTAGCACCAATTCTCTTGCCCATCTTTTGTGTCCTGATGACTTGGATCAGCGGCCTAGGAGGCAGGAGGTGGGGGGAGGTAGGGACACAGGGAGGAGAAGCTGAGATCCCAAGAAAGGTGACCTGGGAGAGAGCTAAATGAATGGTTAGAGGCTGGGGATAGTGTGTCTATGTGAGCCAGAGTACAGGCAGGGGACTAAGGGCCAGGTAGAGAATGAGGCTGGATAGGCCTGGATACATACGAGTCCACATGGTTTTCAAATGACAAGATGACAGGATAGGGGGAGGTCTTAAAGGCACTTTCTGCAATGGCTTCGATTGCTTCCTGGAGGAGAAAGGGACTATGTAGTGGGGACAGTCCCTCCTCACAGTGCTTTTCCCCACTCTCTAGTTTCAGTACACACATGAAACTAGATGGTCACTGTTGGATCTCCATTCGCATGTCCCCTCTAGCCCCACACTGACCTGAGGCAGTCCAGATATTTCTCCCCTAGCTTCACTCCTCTCACCTTAGCAAGCTTCTAGCCCAGGCCTTTTCTGATGGCTACTGTCATCAGCCTTTATGCCCCAAGACCCACCTTGAATAAGATGTCTGTGGTCATGGTGAAACCGTGGGTAATAATGGGCTCCTCATCTGGGGGCTTTCCCTTCCAACAGTCTAGTTCCACACAACGGCAGCCAGACAGCAGTACCTGGCGGTACATCTCCGCGGAAGAAAGACCTGAAAACTGGCCAGCTGAGCCAACAGGGAGAAAAGGGGAAGGGACGTCACTCACAATCTGGCCATGCCCATCACTATCCTGTTGGTAGGGCCAGGAGCAGATGGGTAGCACCTTTAGAGGATCTAGGGCCCAGGAGTAGCTCAACATGAGGTTTCCAGGACCTACCTGTCAAGTAGGTGTTGTGTGAGGAGTTAATGAAATAGTGATTAAGTGGCTGTGTCATGTCATGGTGAAGCAACAGTGCATTCTGGGACAGCACACTGTTCTCTGGTCCGCAGAGAAACCAGACCATGCCCTCGGGTGACAATTGACCTGGGAGAAACAATGGATAGCAAGTGGTCTCCAGGACAACACAGGACAGGACTGCAGGAAATGGGGGTTCCCTTAGTTCTTACCCCTCTGTACATTGATGCCGCTGGGCTCATACTTGTCGATAAGGCCCTGCACCTGCTCAGGTCGGGCTGGTGGGAACAGCAAGGAGTTGAGTCGAGAGTCCCGCTGCTTCTGATTGATGAATTTGGTCAGGTGTTCCTTGGTCATGTATGGTTTGGCTTTAGCATGGCTGCAGGCCAGAAAGAGGGGACACAGGTATGTATCCCTTGGGCCCAGAGGCTTAGACAGCCCTCTTCTCCAGTAAAGTCTTGTGATTCCCAAAAGGACAGGTAGAAGGAAGGGACTGCTACCACCACCACCTCCTCATGCCCGGTCCACTCCAAGAAACTCACTAAGAAGTGAAGATCTCATCGATTTCTGGCCGAGGACAGAGGCTCATTAGGAAGCTCTTGTATACGGATTCTGGGAAGTCCTCAGGATTGATAGCATCATTCTGGAGGAATTGTCACCTTGTCACCCCATATCTCACCTACTCAAAGCTAAGACTCACAACCTATACTTAGCTCTGGACTTAGAGAGATTATTCAAGGCAGACAGTCAGAGGACACCATGGACACATCCTTCCCAAGGGGCTCAACTGCTGACTGGAAAATCAGTTAGCTGGCTTGCTCTGGTGCTGCTTTAGGATAGTGACTAATCCCTTATCTGGAACAGGACTGGAACTAATAACGACTAGAACAATGAGGTAAATGTCATATGCCAAGGATGCTGTTTGCCAGGGCAACCAGGCTACTTTTTTTCTTCTTAAGTGAGGGCAAATTTTCTTTTTTTCTTTTTTTTTTAATATATATTATTTTTATTTTATGTGTATGAGTGTTATGCCTGCATGTAGGTAAGTGCACCCATGTCGTGCAATGCCCATGGAGGGCAGAAGAGACTGCTGGATCCCCTAGGACTGGAGTTACAGACAGTTGTTAGCTGCCATGTGGGTGCTGGGATTCGAACCCAGGTCTTCTGCAAGAACAGTGTTCTTAACTGCTGAGCCATCTCTCCAGCCCCATGAAGGACAAATTTTCAAAAACAGTTTGAACACAAATAAGTATGCACCTAACAGCAAAACCCTGAAATGTGAGAAGCAAAAACTGACAGAATTGGAGAGAAAAGTATGACAATTCAACAGTAGTAGAATGCTTGCCTAGCATGCACAAGCCCAGTACCACAAAAACCAGACACATGGCTGGGCTTGCAGGTACATGCCATGCCTTTGATCCCAGCACTCTGGAGGAAGAAGTAAGCAAGTCTCTGCCTGATCTACGTAATGAGTTCTAGGCCAGCCAGGGCTACATAGTGAGACTGTGTCTTAACAAAACAAAACAAGGGCAACAGTCATTCCCCACCCCACATATTAGAAAAAACAAAAACACAAGAGAAAAGGTGAAACTGAACTTCATCAAAATTTAAAATGTTCATGCTCCTCAGGACACAGTCAAGAAAGTGAAGGCCAGCCTGGGGTCCATAGTGAGACCTTGTCTCAAAATTAATTAATTAATTAAAATAAATAAAGACAACCCACAGAAAGGGATAAAATATTCACAAATCAGGGACTAGAGAGCTGGTTCAATGGTTAAGAACACTTACTGCTCTTGCAGAGGACCTGGGTTTAGTTCACAACACCCACATGGCAGCTCATGACTGCCTGTAACTCCAGTTCCAGGGGGTTCAATGCACTCTTCTGGTGTCCATGGGCACTAGGCATGAACATGGTTCACACATATACATGTAGGCAAATACCCATACACATAAAAATAAACCTTAAAAAGAAATACAAATCAGTTATCTGTTAAGTAATAATTCAACAACAAAAAGACAATCTAGGGGCTAGGGACATATCTGAGTTGGTAAACTGCAAACATATGAACCTGAGTTCCAAGCCCCAGCAGCCACATAAATGCTGGATGCAGCAGTGTATGTGTCTGTAACCCTAGTGCTGAGGGGTAGGCAGAGACTGGCAGATCCCTGAAGCTCATTGGCCAGCCAGCCTCACCAAATGGATGAATTCCAGGTTCAGTGAGATGAAGAGTGATTGGGGAAGATGCCCAACTTGTACCTCTGGCCTTCACAGAGGCTCGCACATATGTATATACATCACAAACACATACACATATGCACATATACAAAAAACCAAAATGAAAGATGGACAATGGATTTGGACAGATAATTCTGAAGAGGTATAGAAATGATTGATAAGCAGGTGAAAAAATGTTCAACATCATTAGTCATTAAGCAAATGGAAATTAAAAACACAGTGAGGTATCACTTCTCTCCCACTCTGATGGCATAAATAAAAGACAGTCATGGTGTTGGTGGGATGTAGAAAAACTAGAACCGTTATACAGTGCTGGTGGAACTGTAAAATGGTGCAGCCACTTTAGATAACAGTCTGTCAGTTCCTCAAAATGTTAACTATAGAGTCACCATGTGACTGAACAATTTCACCTGGATGTTTATATCCAAGAGAACTGACACAGCCACAAAAATTTGTGTATACAAGTGTTTATAGCAGCATTATTCATAATAGCCAAAAAGTGGGAAAGACCAAATGTCCATCAACTGATGAATTAATAGAATGCATCTGCTCCACACAGTGGGCTAGGATTCTGCAAGAAAAGGAAATAGATTGCTGATGCAACAACATGGATGAACCTGGAAAGCATTAAGCTGAGTGAGTAAAGGCCACATCAAAGGCCACAGATCCCATGAATCCCTTTACATGAAATGTCCAGAATAGGTGAATTTATAGAAATGGAAACAGAAAGTAGATTGGGGGGTATTCAAGGATGCTGTGCCTTTGCATTTTGTTCTGCCACCCCCAAAAAACAACAAACACTAAATGTCATTCAGGATGAGTTTTAATTGGAGGTGGGGGTCTGACCAGGAGAGAATGACTAGATCTCCCCTAGCCCAGCTCTTGCCTTTGAAGCTGGTTAGTGGCCTCTACTGGGACCCAAGGAAAGCAGATAATAAGGAGAACACAGCTAGCTCAGGAAGCAGGAGAAAGGGGGGTAGATCTGTCCTAGAAGCAGGTAAATGGTGTGAACTATAGGGCCCACCCTCTTCCCTGCTTTGTGCTCAGATCCAGTGTCACTGACTGCACTCAGTCAGTGGGCCTGTGGGGGAAGCATTCCTTGTATGATTCATAAGGACAAGTGTTCAGGGTCTTAGTTTTTCTTGTTTCTAGTGTTCTAAATTCATACCAGGAGAAATGCTTCATGGGTGCAAGGTCAAAATTACACAAAAGTACTGGCCAAGGTGGACAAGGGCCGAAAATCTAACACTACCCTTCCCTTCCCAGCCAGGCTTGACTCACAGTTATATCTACCCAGCAAGTTCTTTTTTTTTTTTTTTTTTTTTTGGTAAATCATATAAGGCACCTCATGGGGTAACCCTGCTTCAACTTATAATTAAAAATTAATTGCTTAATTAAAAAGAAAGTGGAGAATGTGTCTCTGCATTGAGCTGAATTCTATGTCCTGACAGCTTCCACCCTTGGTTCTGTTCTTCTCCCCAGCACCCTGCAGAATGAGTTCCTTCCTGCAGAGGTCAGACCCTATGGTCTCCCTCCTGTTCCGGCTGACCTTATCTCTTCTAGGATGAAAACATTCAACTCCCATTCCCAAGGCTAGCATGGGAAGGCTTGTCAGGTCTGCTACTGCCCAGCCCCCACTGCCTCCAGCACTGTTGGATGGAGACCTACCTTCTTTGAACCCAGCATCACACCCTCTTGCCCTGGTGCCACCTTTGTGCCTAGTATCAGGCAGCAGAGGACTAATTGGCTTTAGGAGCTATTGATGAAACTGTGACACCATTTCTGCCCTCCCCACCCCTCACCATTCCTGGGCAGGTTTTCTCCAATGGGAGAGAGAAATATTAAGAGTTGGCTGGAGGAGGAGAACCACTCACCTTGCCTTTTGCAAGGTGACAAGCACTGAGGGCAGCTTCTACACGTTTGCGGTCAGCAGGAAACATCTGGAAAAAACTGAAGGAGCAGAGAAAGGTACCAGGCAGGGGAAGAATCATGCCTCAGGAGGGAGGGCTTGGGGAGCTGCAGTATGTGGGAAACTGGAGATACTCACTTCTTCACAGGAATCTTCCCTTCAGGATTACGCTGCATCTTGAGCTTCACCAGGCTGGAGGGATGGACAGCAGCCCATCAGTCTTAGGGCTGGCAAGCCAACCCCATGGGCTGGGGCCAGGGGAGCAGGCACTTACATCTTGTCTAGGAAAGTGCTGCGGGAAGCATTGACTGTCATCGGGTGCTTGGCCAGGGCCAGTACATCCTCAGCCCAATCCTGCAGGACCACAGACCAGCAGTCAAACTCCTGACCACAGGTGTCCCTGAGTCCCCTCAGCCCAGGCCTATGACTCTCAGGAAGCTCAGGCTGCCCCAGGTGCCAGGACTCCGCCCAGGTGTTCCCTATGCACCTTGCCCACGTTTTCCTTGTAAGAGACAAAGTTGTGGAAGGTAAGGTCCACCATGTCAGGGCCGGACACAACCGTGAGTGCCTTCAGCAGAAAGTGGTCATCTGGAAAATCCATGTTGAAGACCTCACGGAGTTTCTGGCTCTGTAGGAAGCAGTAGCATAGTAAGAGTCAGAACCATGCTCTCAGTTTTGCCCAAAATGGCCCTCCCATCCCTCCCCATCAGCCACTTGAACTACAGGCCACTAGGGCAGAATGCCATGTCTATCTTAGGAGCCATGGGCCTCAGCATCTCCCTGCCCCTGGCTTTATCAGGTGGCATGGGGAGGGGAGGCATACAGGAAGAGACTGGCTAAGGCATTAGTGCCTGGAAGTCCTGGGTATTTTGTTTTCTCCTTTTGTCTGAAGCTAGATCTTAGCGCCCAGCTCCGAATCCTGCTTCCCATCAATCCCTTAAATTTTCTTACCAGTATTAAGCAAATGTATGCAAACCAGTCAATGAGGGATGGGGAGTGAGGGGTAAAATCAACACCTCCCAGACAGTCTGGGATAGCTAGGGGCAGAAGTTGGCCCCTCCTCCCACCCCCTTGTCATCTCAGCTCACTATGCCCAGTCCCATAATCAGAACCCAGGCAAGCTCAGCAGCAGCCACAGCACCCCTTCTTTGGCCTGAATAGTCTCCTTGCTGCCTAGCAGCCCAGAAACTGTCCCCCTTGTTCCATAGATAGGTTTCTCATCCCCCCACAGAGGCTTGTTCCTTTCCCTATGGAACTGGTAGCTTCCTTGATCCTAGGCTGCTTCTGGGCCCACCTACCTTGGGCATCTTGGCAAACTTGCCAAAGCGGGTGTCTCGGATGTTAGTGATATCCAGAAACTCCATCTCCTGGTGGCAGTTCCCAATGGGAGAGAGGGACATAAAGGTCAGGTTGAGAATGGAAAGAGGGGAGCAAAGAGCTTCCACACCCCTTCAAATCTAGCCAGCTCTAGATGCCAAGACTGTCCAAGATTACCTGGACCCTTCCCTTTCTACTGATCAGTTCCTCCCTATTTGTGGGGATCCTCTTCTCTTCTTCTTGCCCCCCCCTTCCCTGGCACAGAAGCTGTGACCTGTAGCCTTTCCTTCATCCTGGAGTCCCCCAGGCTTACTTCTGTTCCTCTGTCTGTCCTCTGAGCTTTGAACTTTCAAGTGACCCAGAGCCACTAGTAGATCATTGCTCTTCAGCTCAGCAACTTGTCTGTTCCCTCTCTCTTTCTCCAAGGGATGCTAAATCTGAGTATGTGGGCCCCAGGCAGTCATGGACTAATGTCATTGCATCCTCCCCTCCCCTGCCCACAGGAAAACCCCAGGGGCTGCCCTCCCAGGCCATTCTTTACTTCCTAGCATCCATGTCCCCACCCTCACCACCAGGAGTCTGGCAGGGCTCTCTGAATCAAACTGGAGTACAGGGCTATGGTGGGTAGAGACTGTCTTACCTTACTCTGATATGTCCAGTATAGGTAATATCCCTTGGGATCCACACGAAGGATGACTGGGGAGGCTATTGAAGTTTCCTACAGAGAGAAAGGGTCAGCTCTCTGCTTTGAGACCTCAGGCCAAGCTAAGTAGTCAGAGTACATCATCTTTCTAGAAATCTGAAGGTGCTCCCCTTTGGTCTCTAGAGCTAAGATCTGGGAGAGGTTAAAGAAGGGGGATGGAATTGCTGGAAGAGAGGGAGCTTCCTCTCTAAGCCCAAGTACAGGTTTTTCCACCAGACCCCAAGCAAGGCCCCTGCTTCTCCATGTTCTCAAAGGTCATGGCTCCACCAAACAGAACATCCTTCTCTAAGACTTCTTGCTACCACTCAAGACAATTTGACACAATGAAAGTCAAGAACCCAAACGCTGGTCTGGGTAGTCAAGTCCCTGCATGATCCAGTTCCTCAGTACCCTTCTTTACCTCCATGAGCACAGACCACCCTTCCCATTCAAATGACCCACAGAAACACCAAGTGCCTTCCTGCCTCCAAAGCAAAGCATCCAAACTTCCTTAGCCTGAAATGTCTTCAAGGAACAGTTCACCTCACCCCTTCAAAAAGGGCTTTCCTGCAGTGTGTTGTTAACAATGGGGCTGTGTGGTGGGGAGCTAGTTCACAGATGTAGAAACACACCTGGGAACTCCCTGGGAGCTCACAGACCCTAGAGAAATAAGCCTGAGCTAGACTTTGAACTTGATGCTTAGTGCTTGATCTTGGAGTGTGCTGAATGACTACAGGAATGAACGAGCAATAAATTAATGAATGGACTTGCCTTCTAAGTTCCTATTCTACTCACAGGACACATAGATTCCCTTGTATTTTAATAGCTTTTGCATATATAAAACAAGCTAATACAATGAAGGTTCCCAACAACACATGATTGATGCTGCTGACACACCAGACCAAATACAGGATCTACCAAGGAAGTGATACAAGAAAGGTTCCCACATCCTAGATGTTGAGAACATGGAGAAGAGAAGATTTTTTACAAGAAAGCCAATTTTGGAGAAAGATGCATAGTGGATTCCAGGTCCTTTCCCTCCCTAGAGAGGGTCACAGTATCTGCACTCTGACCTTAAGACTGTCTGGTGTGGGAGACAGCAAACTGGAGCTGACCTCCTGCCTGGGAAACCCACCGGTGCTGGGGTATAGGCTGAGACTGCAGAACTCACTGGGATATCAAATAGGTAAGTATTTGCTGAGGTCCAGAGTGGACTTGTGGGGGAAAGAGAAGGGCAAAGGGCCTAAAGGTTCAGGAAGATGAAAGTGGTAACAGGGAGCAGAAAAATAATTGTGAGTGATCCTCTGAATTTTGACATCAGGGGTTTTCAAGCAAGAGAATTCCACTACAGGGAGAAAGGTTTCCCTAAAATAAAAACTGACCACCAGAGAAAAAATAGGCTTTAAGCTTCTGTTTAGGCTTAGAAAGTTCAAGCTACCTGTTGACAGCACCTGTTCAAGAAAGAACTCTCGAGCGGGTGTGGTGGTGCACGCCTTTAATCCCAGCACTCGGGAGGCAGAGGCAGGTGGATGTCTGTGAGTTCAAGGCCAGTCTGGTCTACATAGTGAGATCCAGGATAGCTGGGGCTACAGGGAGACCCTGTCTCAAAAAGACCAAAAAAAAAAAAAAAGAAAGAAAGAACTCTCACCCTTCCCTGTGTTCCATTGAGAAGGACCTGGAGGAGAGAGAGCCAAGAATCCCATTATTGGCTCTTTCTAGGAGACTTGAAGTTTAGGAGACTCCCCACACTTGTCCTAAAAGGAAGGCCAAATGCAATGCTGAAGCAAGGCTGGAGTTTCAATTCTAAATTGTTTCTGAAATAGGGCTGGATTTTGTGAGGCCCAAGGGAAGGTTGTGTCTAGTAGCTGAGTTTCCTCCTACAGCTAGGAGAGCTTTTCCCTCTAAATATGTTGTGAAGGGGCTGTGGAAGACTAAATAGTCGGTTACATCCTGCTCACTACACTTATCAGGGTGGTACAACCTATCCCGGTCATTTGCTAATGGGCTAAAAGCAACCTGAGAGCAGAGCCTGGCTCATTAGCTGCATGTGTCCTACAACCAGGCTTGGGACATACCTGCTCATGCAAGTCAGGGTCCAGGAATCATGCAATTCTATGCCTGGGGGAATGGAAGGTGTCAACCAGATACACATGTTGGAAAGAGAGCCACATCGCATGTTCCTACCTCTGGTGACCCACAGTGTACTCAAGTTATATACACTGCCCAGAGGAACTGAGAGGCCACTTCACTTTTCATTGTGAGTCACTTCCCTCATCCATAGGCTCCTAAGACACCTACATGTCACCATCATGCTAGCACCATGCCACACCAAACATAACGCTCCTAGGGAAACAGAAAGCATTCCACCCCAGGGCCTCATCTCCACAGATGCCTTAACCTAGCATAGCCCTAAAGTGCCTAGACCCTGATCCCCTCGTTGCACTAAGAAAGTGGACAGGCCAGTACAAGGGGTTTTGAAGACGTGATTGTGACTCCCTAAGCGGAAATGCTATGTTGGAAACTTTAAGCCTTCTGAGGACCAACCTAGTGCTCTTGTGGGGTAGGCCACCCCAACAATCATCCCTTCCCTGAAGGAGAGTCCTCATACTGTTCTTCCTGGCCCAAGAGAAGCCCTGGCCAGTGGCAGGGTTTTCAGGGCTGAGGAGGACCAGAGACTATTTAGGAAGGAGACACAGTGGCGAGATGTGTACAGGGTAAAGCACTACCTTCTCCTTGCCTGTAGACAGGCTGGCAGGCAGCAATGGCAGTGTTGGGCAAAAGTGAGTGAGTTCCTTCCCAGACCTCAGAAGCTTGAGCCTCCAGTTCTTGCTTGGTTCCAGGTCCCTTTGGGAACTGCCCCCACAGTAGTGGCTCAGGGGAGAACATGGCTTCCTTGGGACAAGCTAAAGGTATCCTGTGGATTGGGCTAATGGAGATGGGTCTGGGCTCCTGCAAGAGTACACTTGGGGTGCCTGCCAAGAAGGGGGCCTGGCTCACTTCTTACCATGTCTAACTCAGCTTCCTCCTCCCCCAACTCCCAACCAACAATGAGGCCATCAGCGCCAAACCCTTGTCTTCTTGTGAGACTTGAAGAGGGCAGACCCAGGTCCAAAGGAACTAACGTCCCTGTTACTCCTCACACACAAGGCAGCCCACCCACTTCTCATTCCTAGACACAGAGGCTGAACCAGAGCAGCCAAGGACACCCACTCTCACCCCAGGCTTGTTTATCCAGGCTGTTGTGCCAGCTGCCTGGCCAAGCCACACAGGCGCCTGGGTCCTGAGAGACATAAACCAACCTTCCGCCCTGCAAAGCATCTTAGCAGCCCAGTAACCAACCCGCCCAGCCTTACTCACATCATCCCACTTGATGAAGCGCTCGCCTTGGCTCAGATACTCCTTCACCTTAGGGGGCAGCAAGACAGGGTTGAGCAGAGACATGATGCCAAGTGTCCCTCTTTGGAGAGACTGGGCAGACACAGGCAGACAGGAGGAGAGAAGGAAGGAGGGCTGACAGGAAGGAAAGCTAGGCTGGGCTCACATGGCACCCGCCCGCCCAGCACTGTTCCGGAAGTCTGGGTGCTCTTATAGCTCGTGGGGTGACAGTGGCTGGTTGTAAGTCTCAGAGTCCAGGTAGGGGCCCATCGATCTGCCTTGTAAATCAGCCTCCTCCTTCTCTGTCTGAAGTGGGGGGCTGCAGTAGGTGCTCCTGCCCATGGGGCTGGGCTCCCCTCCTGGGAGTCTTGTGTCCCACCCCTCTGCCCTCATCCGGAGCTGGGCCTCAGCACTTCCTGCTCAGGGCTTCCTTCTCTGAGCTATTGTGAACTGAGAGGCCGGTCATGAGACCTGGAAGCCTTGGGGCCAGGGCTTCTGTTACAGGCATAGTCTCTATTCAGATTTAGTTCAAGGGTGCTGGAGGAGAGTAACAGCCCAATAGGAAATGTCATTACCTAGGATTGGAAAGAAAAGAAGGCTCAAAGAGCTCTCTAGGGGTAGAGACCTTCACAGAGTAGGGGTTCTGTCCTCACAGGGTGGGACCACTCTGAAGGGGGGAGTCAGGGATGGGCCAAAGCCCAGCTGGGATTGGGTGCTTTGAATAAACAAAGTTATCTGAACACCCAGCTCTTCTTTCTCAATGCTTCCTCCCCATGAAAATGAGGGTCAGGTGAGGCAATATGCCCCTCACCCTCTGACACTTCTCTGGGCCTCTGGGCCTTGCAGTAAAGCCTGAAACCTTCACTAATCAGCTGGAGCAGCCCTTTGCCACCAGCCTCCATTGTGTGTTCTGCTTAGTACCCACAGACCTGGGGTGAGAGGTTCTGGGGGGCAGGAGAGGCTGTATTCTGGGCCCCACTTGAAGTGCTGTGATCCTTACAGTGTTCTTGTCCCAAAGGTTCGGTTCCAGCCTAGCTTGGCCCCAGCTACTTCCTGTTACTTAACTTACTCTTATCGTACTTCTTAGCCCAACTGGGGAGGCAGGGAGCTCTACCCATGATTTCCTTCCCCTCTCAGGCCCTGGCTTTCTGCCTTAGGTCCCACCAGGGACCTCTGTGCCACTCCTGACAACTCTGAGGCCCTGATCCTGCCCTGGAACTGCCTCTGCAGGTCATGACCAGTGTAGGAAACTAGGGAGCAGAAGGAGAAGGTTAGTGTTAGTGAGCTCTGGAGCTGTGGCATATGCCTGTAATCTCAGCATCTAGAGGTGGGGAGAGGGAGATCAGGAGTTCAAAATCATCCTCAGCTATATACTGAATTCAAGCCCAATCTAGGCTACATGAGACCTTATCTTAAAAGGGGAAAAAAGAAGTGAACTGCCCAATGGAAGCTAGCATTAAGGAGATTCCTAGCTCAAAAATAAGCTTCAGAAAAGCAATTCTAAGATCAGAGGGGTGGAACCTAAAGCAAGGCCCAATTGTGCCACCTGAAAACAGCTCCCAAAGTCCTGCAGGTGACAGGTGTTCCAACCCCTCCCTCAGTGTCTCTCCTCATCCTTCCCTCTAGCCTTGGGTTCTCCTGGGAACCTCTATGGGAGCCCCTGCACATCTGTTTGTCTCCCTGGATCAGGTTTCCTCACAGTTTGAATGAGTTTTGCAAGGGAAATCCCTGTCCTTTCCCAAAGTCCCTACACCTGTCACCTGCAGCAGATCTGGTCCCCACATCCAAGGTCCTCCTTCCTATCTTGCCAGCAGTCAGCAGCCCGCTCCTCTCTGCCAGTATAGAAGACAAACTAGGGAGGAGGAAGGATGGCTCTGCCTTCCCTTCAAGGATCTGACTCCTCTGCCCCTTCAGTCTTGGGCCTTAAACCGACAGGACAAAGCCTGGACAAGGCCTGAGGTTCCAACTGTAACTTCAGTGGGGGCCTGTACTTGTCTATTACATGCTAATGTCCTGCAAAGCCAATCCTAAGAATGGTGAGCCATTCAGGAGGATCTTTACTGAAGAGGGTGCTTTCTCTTTTAAAAATACATAGGTTTTCCAGCATGTTGACACATGCCTGTATAGTCTTAGCACTTTGGGGAGCTGAGGCTAGAGGATTGCTAGAGCCCAGGAGTTTTAGGCCAGCTTGGAGAATATAGTGAGACTCTGGCTCCAAATAAACAAAACAAAGCAAAACAAAGCAAAAAGTAAGTTTTTAAAAATGTAAGTTGACAAAAATATATTATGTAAATAATGGAGGACATCAAGGAAGTCACAGAAATAACATTTGGGAAATTGGCCTTGGACTTGAGTGTTGTTGCTTGGAAGGAACTACTGGCAATGGGCCAATCTGGCCCCCAGGATGGACAGTGGAAGGGCAAGGATGCCCCCTGCTGGGTGCACTGGAAAGCTGAGCCTACTGGAGAAAGGGGCGGACCCAGGGGAAGCAAACACTCCAGGAAGTTTCTGGTAGATCCGTGTCATTTGTGATCCTGAGTTTGACATGTGGGAGCCGTGGGCTGGAGACAGGGAAGGAGCTTATACTCAACAGCTGCCTCTCTGGGATGGGTCCCAACTCCCATACTCACTTCTCAGTGTCGGGTAGGGATCATGAGACTTGGAGCTCAAATCTGATCATTAAAGACTTTTTGTTTTTGTCTTTTCAAGACATAGTGGTGGAAAGTGAACTCCTATCTCTAGGTGCTATAGTTACCTGTCAAACAAAAGTGTAAGATTAGGTCATTTTCTTACCTGATGCCCTGATTCAGTGGGATTCAGGAATGGGGGGGACATACTGTGTGCCTTGGGCAATGGCTAACTTGCTTTTGGGATAGAAATGGCTTAGTCGTTGCACCCTCTGGCATCTAGTTTCCCAGCCTGATGTGGGTAGCCACATCCACATCAGCTACTTACCAATAGGTTTTTCTTGTGATACTTACACTTCCTATACCTTATCTTTCTCACATATAAAGTGGGAATAACCATACTTCATGAAGAAGTTGAAGGCTTAAAGAATATAGTAAATATAGGGTATTTAATACAGTGCCTATACATATTACTGTTTTGAGTATTCATTTGCTTATTTTGTTAGCAGACACTAGAAGGAGGGATCTCACTCCTTTTGTCTTGCCTGTTGCTTTGATACAGGGCCTCCCTATGTAGTCTTGGCTGGCCTAGTAACTTTACTATGTAAGCTAGGCTAGCCTAGACTTCATGACAATCCTCCTGTCTCAGCATCCCCAGTGCTGAGATTACAGGTGCATGCTACTATGTCTGGTTTTTTTTTTTTTTTTTTTTTTTTTTTTTTTTTTTTTTTCTCGAGGCTGGTTGTATAGGTTGGTGTTTTTTTTTTTTGTTTTTTTTTTTTTTTTTTTTTTTTTTTTATTACTTCTTCCAATTCCTCTGAACCCATGGGTTCTGCATCTGTGGATTCAGAAAATCTGGGAGGAAAATGGCATCTGTACTGAATATATGCAGACTTGTTTTTCTAGTTACTATTCTCTAAGTAATACAGTGTAACAACTATTTACAGGAATTATTAGGAATTATACATAATCTAGATATGAATTAAAGTATATAGGGGATATGATATATAACATGCAAAACATTGTATATAAGGGGCTTGAGTATCATTGGATTTGGGCATATATGGGAAATCCAGGAGCCAACTCCTCATAAATACCAAGGGACAAATCTATCCATGCTGTTTTTTCAACAAGTGTCTCATGCCATCATGAGCACAGGGACTCAGATCATTAGCAAATATCAGCCTCCCATAGGCGTCCCAGCTCAGCCTCCATAGCTGATGATGCAGTCACAAGAACAAGGACTGGGGGCTGTTGCACTGTCCAGCTGTGTGTCAGCTGGGACTCTATCAGCTGCTCACTTTAGTGCTGTGGGCTGAGTGTGAGTGGAGGCAAGGGCAAGACTGGAGCAGGTGTGGAGGTCCTGATCCTTCAGGTGGGAGAGGAGAGGCGATCAAGAAAATCAAGAGTCCTCTGTAGCTGGTGGTTCATATTGTAATCCCAGAATTCAGAAGGCTGAGGCAAGAGGATTGTCACAAGTTTGTGGCCAGCTTGAGCTACAGAGTAGGTTCCAAGCCAGTGTGGGCTACAGAGTGAGACTCTCTCGCAAACAAAACAAAACAAAACAAAGTATTAAAGCAAAAGTGTTCTCTGTAGCCAGGCATAGTGGCACATATCTGTGATCCCAGCACTCCAAAGCAGTAGGATCACAAAACTGGAGGGTAGCTTTGGCTATATAAGATTCTGCCTCAAAAAATTAAAAAGTTATGTGTAGAATCCTAGGAGGAAGATGCTGTTTGTCTCCTCCCTTTCCACACACTCACCTCTAGCACCACAGCAAGAGCCATTTGAAACTTCAAAGTGGAAAAGGATCAGTTTGGGGTGTGTATCTTTTTGAAGTGCCATTTTGGATGAATCTAACCTGGTCCATGCTCAACAAACCCAGTTGCTCCAAGAGGAGCAACGTTTACTGTGGGATCTTGGCAAAATGACTGAGGTCACCAATCTAATAAACTCCATAATTTCCAGATTCCTTCTAATTCTAAAAATTTCCTCCCAAGCAGAAGGGCCAATCTTGCCACCTTTATGCCCCTGCCTGTTCTCTGAGACATGGTCAACCTAGGTGTGAAAGCTGCAGATGGCAGAGAGAGGACCAACACTCAACCCAGCATGTTATATTTTGGACATGGTCACTTATCTTTTCTCTGTGTTAATCCATCTGCAAAAGGGGGCAGTTTCGATACACATGATGGAAATTTACCAGCTGCTGTCCTTCTCTGAACTGGCACAGTGCATCACACATAGAAAATACCCAAGATATTGATTGATTTATTCTGTCTTTCCTCCTATCCAGTGCCCCCTCCTTTTTTATCAGGACCTGAGCAAACTCACAAAGGACCAGCCTCTCAATGTTGTGAATAGCAGGAAACCAATGAGTACAGGAATATGTAGAGATTCAGGAGCAAAAGTATCCTACCTAATCTGCTAGAGCAACAGCCCAAACCCCACAAGGTGAAATGAAAGGGTTTAACTGAAAGATCCAGGCTTGGCTCCAAGGCACCAACTATACAAGGACAGGGTGGAGAAATAGCAGCTTAGCAGAAGTATGTGTGAATAAAACTGAGGAGTTTTGCTGACAGCCAGCTCCATCTGAGTCAAACGACAGCTGCCAATAAAAGCGGACATTCTTAGGCTGCGGAATTGGAGCTGATTCTGAGCCTGGTGGTTCTCCATCTTGAAATCACATCAGAACTGCCTGACAACACTAGCAACACTGCATATTCCCTGCTGCTCCCAG